TGTAGAACAGTGCTATGAAAACCATCTGAGTAGAGTAGAAGGCAGAGAGGTGAAGACAGACCTGCTTTTTGTCTGAATGTTCTTACAGTTTTTTCTGATTGCTTAAGCCCTTTTTTTGTAACTATTGGCTAATTTTGCCAAACTCTTCACACAAATAAGAAAACCTGTCACCCAATCATCAAAACATTGTAGTTCTCTTGCAAAAGCAAACACAGCTAGATTAACTCCTCACACCTTTGTAAAAATGGTGTTTCCGTATCAAACAGTACACACAAGCCATCATCTACTAAGCACACAATGCGCCAACTGCACACTGATGGTATGAATACAAAACACATCTGGCTTTTGCTTTCTCTGTGCACAAGGTAGGCTATGTCAGTTTGAGCTCATACGTCTGTCATAGATCCATAAGCATAGAGGGATCCAAACTTCAAGTACTGGTGTTTATTCAAACACATCAAAACAAACACAAGTGTTTATTTCCAAGTATAGGATTATTTGCAATCGCCATAATGACTCTATGGGTTACTTGGTCTGCAGTGAACATGCTTCCTCTGCCCCAGCATCTGGTCATCTAGCAATTCTGTAAAGTAACAATTTCAGTATTTTTACATCAATGGTATTGGTGTGTTTCTCATTGGCATATGCCAGTGCTACAAATCTTTGTGCGAAGTGACTGTACTCACCGATTCTCATTTCAAGATGTCCTTATGGTACTTGCTACAGTGTAGCGGCTCGAGTTAGGCTGGACCCGTTGGCCAGCTTCCCTCAGGGTCATTCCACGGTTGATGACATGGTCCACTATTGTAGCTCTGATGTCATCAGCAATTCTATTTCTTACTCTTCCTACCCTTCCTCTCCCCCCTCCTCATCTTCCTCTCCTCCCTCCTCGTCTTCCTCTTGCTCCTCCTTGTCCTTGTCGTCCTCTTCATCCTACTTCTTCACCTCCACGTCCTCTTCCTCGGCCTCCTCTACTTCTCACTCTTTCTGCTCCCTCCATTGTACTCCGCACACACAGCTTACCTGTATTATAGTGCTTAGGCTGATTGCAAAGTGAACTAATTATCTAAAAAAGTTTTCACATGTGAAAGTGTGCCAGACAGTTGGCAAATTAGTGTTAATGATAGCCATACATGTGTATACTTTTGCTAGGAGTGTGTTGGAAATTTGGTAATTGAGTGTTGTGCAGTGAATTGTGCCTACAGTTTTGCAGAGTGTGTTACAAAATTGCAAACTGAGTGCAAAGCAGTTTTTGTGCTTTTAGTTTTGCAAACTCAGTGAGTGGTTTTGCTATAAGTCTGAATAGTTTTAGAGATTGTGCTACAGGAATCACAGTTAGGGTTTAAGCATTCGGAAAAAACTGTAAGTAGAAATTTCAGGTATCTGTACTTTACTCGAGTATTTTTTTCCTGACAATGTTTTACTTTTACTCCCTACGTTATCGGAGAAATATCTGTACTTTCCACTCCTTACATTTACAAAGCAGACATACTTTTGATTTTAAGGGGAGTTATTTCATCACACCTTCAAACGTCAACCTGATTTGAGCCTCAACAGCAACACGTGAAAGGCAGTCCTGTTCGTGTATTACAGTTTTTCTCGATTGCTAAAACACATTTCTTGAAACTATGCCTCATATCCTCACAACAGTAAACACAAATCCATAACATCTCACTCAATTTCCCAAACATCCTATTTCCAGGTCAAAATGAAGCTCCACACCCAAAACTATTCACTCCTGCTGAAAAACCAAACTTTGCCCTCAGACATCAAACACAAGCCCTCAAAAACACACACACTACAACAGAGTTTTGCACACTGGTACAATTAATTCAAAACAATAGTTCCAAAACAAATAGGTTGCTTATGGTTCTCCCCTTCAAAACCCTTTTCACATGATAAACACAAAAGACGCAACCAATGTATGTACAGTAGCACATTGTCATTCATGTACTATACAGTACAACACACACCAGAAACATTATCCCACCTCAGCATCTTGTCTTTGGTCTGGGTCAGGCCAGAGAATCTCATCCACATCACAGGCTACATTGGCCCCAGCCAGGCAGCGGGGGTAAAATCCTCTTGCATGCCTGATCCACCCCTGTCATGCATCTACTGATATGTCTAGGCAGGCCTCTTCCATGGCCTGAAGGAGGTGAACACGGACATAAGGTTCTCGGCCATACACTTTCCACCGCCATGCCGAAAATAACTCCTCTATTGGGTTTAGAAAGGGAGAGTATGCAGGCAGAAAGATATTAGAAAACCTTGGGTTATTGGTAAACCAGTCACGAACCAGAGCAGCGCGATGGAAGCTGACGTTATCCCACACAACAACGTAGTGAGGCTGCTCTGGCTGTGCTGGTTCCCTGTAGTGCAGCTGGAACATATGTTGTCTTAAACCATCAAGAAAAGCAAGGAGAAGCATAGTGTTATAGGGTCCTAGTACGGCATGGCGGTGGAGTACCCCTCGTTGGCTGATGGCTGCGCACATAGTGACATTCCCCCCACGCTGACCAGGGACATTTACAATAGCCCGATGGCCAATTATGTTCCTCCCCCTTTTCCTTCTTTTGGTCAGGTTAAAACTTGCCTCATCCACAAAGATTATTTCATGGGGAACAGGCCGTCCTTCAATCTCAAAGATTCTCTGCAAAACACATAACACAGTAGAGTCAATCGGTACCCTGAACCACAGTTCAAGAGTGCTGAAATGGCAGCATAAACTGCCATGCTGTGATGGTACACAATACTTTATACAGTTTCAAAACTCATACCTGAACATATTCCACACGTTGGTTTTTCACTCTGTCAGAGTTTCGTTTGAAAGGGACTCGGTATGCCTGTTTCATCCGGAATTGATTCTTTCGGTCAATTGTGGAGAGGCTGATGGCATTTATGCCTCGAAAAAGATGATCATCCTCAATCACTCTCCTTTGAATCTCTCGCAGGCGGATTACATTATTTGCAATTACCATGTTTACAAGTTCCCTCTCTTGCTCCTCCGACAAAAGCCTTAACCTGCCTCCACCAGGTGGTCGTCTCTGTGTCCTACAAAAATAGAAGCACTCATTACTGTAACTGTCACACATTCATTTTACAGGCAAATAATGGAAACATACTGAAACTCAAGACACATAAGTTCAGTAACTTAAACGTTACTGTACAAAGCAGTCTTACTGCAAGTACACCTACCTGTTTTCCTCCCTGACGGTTCTGATGATGGAGGCAACAGTGAAGCGACTCAAATTTGGTTGTACTCGTTGCCCAGCCTCCCTCATAGTCATCCCATGGACAAGGACATGGTCAACTAAAGTGGCTCGAATTTCATCCGAGACTGACTGTCTTCTTGCCCTTGCTCTTCCCCTTCCTTGTCGCCGTCGTTCTCCACCTCCTTCACCACGTCCTCTTTCTCCACCACGTCCTCTTCCTTTGCATCTCTTTGGATCCATTGTTTCAAACCTGAATGAGCTGACTTTGGCCCTTTTATCTATCTATCGCAGGTTCTGATTGGTGTGTGCTAAATTTTGACTCCTAGTGTTTCCACCTGGTTAATTGTGTGCTAATTGAGCTCAAGCTATGCTGACTTAAGTTAACATTATTGCATGCTAGTGCTTTCTAAATGACTACATGGTGTAAGCACTGTAAAATGTAGGGATTTGTGTGTAGAGTTTTGCAGTAACAGTTCACCAAATTTGAGTCATGTGTCAAAGCAGGGAATAGTGTTTATAGTTCAGGGAAATGGGTGAGCTTTTTGAACAGTAGCGTTACGGTTTTGAAATTTTAGTTTAGAGGCCTGGTTATAGTGTTTAAGCAATCGAGAAAAACTGTAATCACCAGAGGATGTCGCAAAATGAGATGAAAGAGGCAAAACCGTGTGAAATAGTCTGGGATTAAAGTGGGCCACTGTTTTTATTTCTTTTTCTGCACAGCACCAGAATGACTGCAGTTGCAGTACTTCAGCATCTGCCTGGCCAGCAGTGAACATAAAAGGATCAGTATTTTTTAAGTGACTTCTATCAGTTCAACAACCATCAGCAAACACAACAACTGTTTGTTTGCAGTTTGTCTCAGTGTTGTTTAGAGGCTGCATGATAAACAGGTTAGTTTGCTGCACTGTGGTGGAGTTAAACAGTGTGCTGGACTGTTGCTCAGCGGCTGCTGTGCTCACGGTCAGAGTTACGTTACATCAAGTGTAGCAGAGATTAATATGATCATCACCGCAGGTTCTCATCCCGACACGTAACATACCGACACTGTGACAAACCGTCAGTATGTTACATGTTGGGAATGACAATGCTCTGGATCTTTAGCTGATGATGCTGAGATTCGTTCACCTTCATACCAGCTGTATAGTGTCTAATATAAGACAGTATAAAGAGTATACTGTCAGTGTAGAGGACAGAAATCAGCCAGACAATTCATAAAACATCAGCTGGCATCTTGTTGAATTCAATTCTTTACATCCACAAAGAGCCGTGAGCAGCAGCACCCTGGATCAGCTGATCACTGAAGCTCTCGATAGAGACGACTGAGTTGTGATTCACAATCAGTCACAACATCTGACTTTAATGTTCCCCCACTTGCTAAACCCTGACTGTGCTCATTTCCCTGTTTAGAGGCAAAGTCACCCTCTACAGTGCACGCAGCAGAAAACAGATCTGAATGAGTCCTTCTTTAGATTCTGCTCATGCTCCATCTGACTGATTCAAGCTGAGGACAAGTAGAATTAACACTTAAACTGAAATAAAGCTTTTATTCCATCTACTAATATTATTTTAATATTACATTAATATAGCACAAGGTTCATTAAACATTCAAGGAGTTACTTTGAGTACTTTTCAGAGCCTGTACTTTCTCACTTTGGTTAACACGAGTATCCGTACGGACACTTTAGTCCAGAACGTCTGCAGCCTCTGCCCATCTCTCACAGCAGTGCAGCTGCCTGTTTAACACAGGACTGGAAACACTGGGCTGACTAACAAACTTCAACTAGCAGGAGCTGATTTGACGGTTTTAAAGCCACGATGCTGTGTTTCATGCATTGTTGCAGTTGGCTTTGTTTCCCCCCTGCATTCATTCACCAAACACAGGACTCAAACAGGCTCACATAGCTTTATTGGACTTGTGGAGAGGAAGCGTCTGTCAGGAAGCTTTACAGGAAACTGCGTCATTTCATCAATGCACCAAAAACCAGAACATGGCCTCACTGGAGAACTGCACTTACATGTGTTAAATGTTAAGCCAGTTCATTTTAACAGGCTGTGACCTGCAAAGGTATTTTGCTGCATAAAGTTTCTTAAAGATCTCTTTAGAAATAGCTCCAAAGCCTCACACTTCCACTTCAGTATAACAAACACAAGAAATAAAGAGAAGGCAGAAAATATACAGAAAAACCCAAAAACCCTGAAGAGCAGATGTGTTGGTGTGTAAAAAGAACTTGGCTAAGGAGAGGAAGACCAAAATGATGAAGGTACAATTACTGAACAAACTTTCAAACAGAGACGATCAAGTGGAGAATACTTGCTCATGTCTTTGGCAGTAAGTTTGGTGAATACGCTCTCAAAAAGACAAATACTGAGCTTCATTTGAAGATCATCAGGCCATCTAAGGATTTATAGGATTGCAGCTTACAGAGGGGGCAGCACATGCTGGACCACCCTGTAGGTGCTGGGTCCTTTTAATGGACTGACTACAGTGATCAGGGTCACATGGTTACCACGTGACTTGCAGCACATCACACCGTTTCACCTTCCTCTCCAGGCACAGTCAGTTTAATTCAAAACCAAAGCAGCTGTTAACCTTCACACTGATTTTACAGTCATTCAACATCCTGCTCTAAATATTACAAAGCACATTACTCCAGTTCACAGACACGCGCACAGCATTTGTTATCTGTGCCTCCATCAGGTCGACGCGGCTTGTACGCTGTGTGGTACGGTGTTGTTTGCTCCACAGTCGATGTACTCGTACGTCTCCAGGGACAGCTGCTCATAGCGGGCCAGGCAGAAGACTGTCAGAGATATCCTGCACAGAGATCACCGTGAAAATCAACAAGCTGGAAACTGCAGACCTTCACAGCTGTGCGTCAGCCCGAGTTTGAAGACACTTCTCCTTCACCGACTCCCTGCTGGGAGCGGAGAAGAAGGATGGCCTACACATTTCGTTGTCACGTACAAGTACCAGCAAACATTCATGAAGACCAAAGCAGACTCACTGCTCCTTCAGGACCATCTGATCTGGCTGCTGTTGCCACATACAGCCTTGTATATGCAGGTAATCACTGCTGGCTACAGTCGGGACATGTTCATACCTCAGCTGTGATCGGATCGAACAGCTTCTGTGAATCTCTTCATGCTTAAAATGTTCAGATTTCAAATAATGTAGAACCAATTAAAACAGCCAAGAGCAAAGACCTACTACACCACACTGATAATATAAGCTTGTTAACATCTAACTTTAAAACTTCTTTATTGTATTTTCTGCACAAACTGAAGAAGACTACGAGCCTGCTGAAACAAAAGCAGGAGGATGTCATACTTACTGTAGGTTCACATACAGAATATGGACAGGCAGCGACTCTTTCTTACAGTAGTTACTGCAGAGGGAAGACAGCAGAGACAGGAGAATGAAATGTTTTAGACACAGAACAGAAACAAACTGTGCACCAGCTGCTAAATGAGAGCGTGACACAGCAGAGCTGGATCATTTCACAGTGCAAACCAACCTTTGAACAACATTCACCACTTTCTACATCACCTGTGCAGAATGTAACCTTCAAACAGCGGACTGACAAATACAGATTTAAGTCTACAGAGAAAGACTCAGACTTGGATGCTTCGTGTCACACATCTGCTGTTAGACAGCAAATGCATTAGAATAGATATGATTCAGTGACCTCTGACCCCCCAGTAACTGCTCTGACCATAAATTCATCCCACTTAGGCTCACCTCAAACCAGGGTCTGTCAGCTGGATGGGTATCATGAAGGAGTACTGCGAAGAAAGAGAGATGCAGAGTCATTCCTCACTTACTGTGATACTTGTTGAACAAAGTCTCAACAACAGTAATCTTCCTTAAATTAAAAAGCACAAAAATAACAGAAATCAGATCCATCAGTGAGGAAACATCGCTCTGGACAAGTGAAATGTTTCAATGTTCATTTTTGTTTCGTGAACAAACCAAATAAAGCCCTCATCAGTGACTGGGATATGTGAAAATCTGTTCTGGTTAGATGGAGCTCTCTCCGAATGTTACAAACACGTCACATGAATACAGCTCAGGTCAAACAGAGCCAGCTCGCTGCTGCAGTTACAGACAAAGACATCAGCAGTGCTCCAACAGCCTGCATCCAATCGGTTATCTGTCATTCAGCAGGATTCATTAAAGCCAAACATCCTTCAAATAATACACGTAGACTTTTCAGCCTCGTACATCTGTCTCACCACAGTAACCATAACAACTAAGCTCTCACTGGATGCAGAAAAAGCCTCTGACCACCTAACCTGGACATTTGTCCTGAAAACACTGGAGAAACATGGCCGTCGTTTATCCGATGGATCAAAACACTACGATAAACCAAAAGCAGCAGTTGTAACAAACACCTCAATCTCAACAAATTCACAGAGGTGCTACACGAGGAAGAAAACACTATGTTTGCACCTAAAACTCAAACACCCATATGGACTTACCCCGACTTCACTGCAAATGGAAAACACGTCGCACACCTCTGTCACATGTTTGATCACGATCATTTCAACAGCTCATTGACAGGAAACAGTTTCTCCAACTCAAACACTCCACCAAAGCAAAGTATCAACAACACTCAGCTGGCACAACATCGCTGCAAGACAGCATCACTGAAACTGCAAAGTCACCAAAAACACTGAATACACGAAAACCCTCTAATGACAATGCACCGCACACTCCAATCAACAAACAGCAAAACGACTTCAACATCCACACAGACAGTCCAATCTGCACTAACAGCACCAACAATTTAAAATACTACAGTCCGCACACCACGGGACCGACTGACTCAGACATCTGCACACATCACTGATGAGCACGTTAACACATCCTGGTCTGACCACCAATACACAACTTCTGGAAATGGTAAATGGCCTGTATTTATAAAGCGCTTTACACATCCAGTCATTCACCCATTCACACACTGGTGATGGCACACCACCAGTTGTAGCCACAGCCACTGTGGCACTGACAGAGGCGAGGCTGCCGGACCACCGGGCCCTCTGACCACCACCAGTAGGCAACGGGTGAAGTGTCTCGCCCAAGGACACAACGACCGAGACTGTCCAAGCCGGGGCTCGAACCGGCAACCTTCCGATTACAAGATGAACTCCCAACTCTTGAGCCACGATCGCCCCATGGAAAGAAAAAAAAAAAAAAAAAAAAACTACCAAAACATCCCAAACCCTCGACCACAACATCCCGCTATGCCCCTCCGTCTGTTTACATGGTGATCTGGAAGAACTAAACATAAACTCCAAACAGATGAAAACAGTCCTGGCTGTGGCCCCGACTATCACCAGGAAAACAAACTGGAAAAAGCTTAGACCTCCTCACACAGCAGTATCAATGGAACAACAATCAGCAATACATAAAACCAATTTGAACACTTCATTCAAATCTAAAAGCTGCTGAGCTAATGCCACAGCAGAAATCATCAGCAGGAGAAGGAAACACGACAAACTCGCTCTTATTTATCTGCTTTTCTCTTCTTATCCTGCCTCGCTGCACTTCTACACAGAAGGACAGGTGTGTGCTCCTTCCTCTCAGCTGTGGTGACTGCATCACATCTCACCGTTTTCATGGACAGAGGTCTGACAGACACGACGTTCTTGATGGACACCGTTCCCAGCACCGTGCCAAAGTTGAGTGCCTGTACTGTCAGGTTGTAGGCCTGCACCGCTGCAAAGTTGTTATTAGTGATGTTCAACACGTTCTGCAAAAGAAAGCAAAGAGCCATCATCCCGTCCGTCCCTGCACAGCCTGACTGCTCCGTTCATCACAGCCGTCCCTCTCTGCTCACCGTGATGTTAATCTGCACGCCGTCGTGAGTGAAGTAAACAGAGGATGAACTGACAGCTACTGGAGACAGAATCACGGAGCGCGGAAACAGGAAGAACAACACCAGGACGCTGACCAGGAGGCACAGCCCGACAGACGAGGCCACATACAGCTTCCTGAGTGAGGACAAAACATGAGAAACACAAATGCATAACACAACAAGCATCAGCAGCTCTCTTACGTGTGTCTGGGCCTCAGCCTCTGGTCAGTACAGGCAATGACAGCAACCAGCTTGCTTTCCTGACCTGCAACACAGTTGGAACAAGGTTCTTAGATTAGAGAAGAAAGTGGGGCAGACGTAACGTTGCTGGGTTATCAAAGCGAACCGTGACCGCTCATGTCTGTGTCAGCCCTGTGGCACACCGCTGACCCCACTGGGGGGCTTCTCACCCTGTGACACTTTTTCACACTCAACATGTGGTTTCAGTGTCAGGGTTACAGTTGGGTTGAGCTTAGGTTTAGGGTCAGGGTCAGGCATTCATTGTTGATGGCCACGAGGATATCAAACCAGACATGCATGTGTGTGTGTGTGTGTGTGTGTGTGTGTGTGTGTGTGTGTGTGTGTTCACTACCTCTGGGTATACGCCCGGTGCCCTGACAGGTGGGACAGTGAACAGTGTCTGCTGAGCTGCATCTCCTGCTCCAGCTGGTCCTCTTAGTGCTGTCCTTCTCACTGATAGGCTGGTTGGAATCTTCCTGTCCCGCCCCGCTGGGCTGGACACAGTCCTCGGTGACACCCTCACACTGGCTTGGAGCAGCTCCCATACCTAAAGAAACAAAAGATTACAAAACACAAGCAAAAAAAAAACAACTACCACACACACACAGTACTGTGCAAAAGTTTTAGGCAGGTGTGTAAACATGCTGTAAACAAAGAATGCTTTCAAACAAATGACTGTTTATTGGCCCCAAACGTACACTACAGCAGGACAACGAGCCCAAACACAAAGAACGAGCACTGAAGTGACGGTCCGGCCCCCACAGAGCCCTGACCTCAACATCGAGTGTGTCTGGGATTACATGAAGAGACAGACGGATGTGAGGACGCCTACATCCACAGGAGATCTGTGCACTGATGGGATTTAGATTTCTCTTTTGTTCATGTAGTGCACAGGTGTCCAACTCCAGGCCTCGAGGGCCGGTGTCCTGCAGGTTTTAGATGTGTCCTTGATCCATCACAGCTGATTTAAATGGATAAATGACCTCCTCAACATGTCCTGAAGTTCTCCAGAGGCCTGGGAATGAACTCATCATGTGATTCAGGTGTGTTCACCCAGGGTGAGATCTAACACCTGCAGGACACCGGCCCTCGAGGCCTGGAGTTAGACACCCCTGATGTAGTGGGTGCGTTGGGTGCAGCTGGCAGATTTTCCAGAACAAACCAGGAGCGATGGGAAAAACAGCCGTCATCTGTGACAGTCCTGTAGTAGCTGGACTGTGCATGTGAAATTCCACAGTTTCAAATCATTTTCTGAATCATAAGGAAAAACTACTCATGCTGTGGAAGATGGGACCAGTGATCTGGATGTGCCAGGCCCGGAGGCTCGAGGCCTGGAAAAAGATGTGAGAGTGGATCACGTGAATCAGAGTGGGTCACGTGAAACGGAGTGGGTCACGTGGATGTGTGACTGCGCCCGTCAGTAGTAGTTTTTCGCTCAAAGCTCAGTGAATCAAGTATCACAGCGCTGTGTGCTCAGTGACACAGACGTGTTTAAACGTTGCTGTGACAGGTTTGAACGCGTGTCTCTGATGTCTGTAAGCGCTGCGTGAAAACGTCCATTCTTAATATTTGAACACCCGGGACGAGTGTGAACGAGACGCCTCCAGCTCCGGGGCCGCTGCTACGTTACACAAGCGGAGCACACAAACAGCAGCCGCGTTCCCAGCTTCTACCCCTCCTGCCCGCGACAGCACCGGGCTCGGGACGTACCTGGCCGCCGTGGGTCTCTGTTATGAAGCAGCCCGTGTCTGTATGCGCATTCCTGCTGCACCTGAGCCTCGGTTGGCTAATGGTCGATCACGCCGCTGACGTAAACACTTCCTGTAGCAGCTGGCTGCACTCGTTACGTGGCCTGTTATCGTCCTCTTACGGTTCTTTTTTATCCCAGAAGCTGGGACCCCGTGTGACCGCAGTCCGGAGCGGAATGTCACCGACAGGTCACTTCCCGTGTTTTCATTCGGAGCCGAGTCTGTGAGAGGAAGTGCTCTTCGTCAGTCTGACGTCAGTCACTACTGTTCACCTTTGTCTTCGTCACTGGACGCTGTTGGTCAAACTTACTATGATCACTGGGCCATAATAAATGTGTCAGTGCGATTCTGGCTTTGGCTCATTTCAGCTGGTTTCCTGGTATAAATCTGGCGTTAAGCACAGGAAATGCACTTTCTATGGGGTTGCTCCCTTATTCAGACTGGGTCGCCACAGGTTTGCTTTTCCTCTGTCTCCTCTCAGCTGTGAATCTTTGATTTGTTACGTAATGTGTAAATCGTTCACCCACGCAAACAGACCCTGTTAGAAATCTTTGACTGTCAGCAAACAGCACATGGTCTGATTCAGTTGAGTTCTTCAGCAGTAAAGTTTTTCAATGTGATGAAAACATGTTCTGTGGCTTCGTTTTCTTCACACACACGTTTACTGGCCCACGCTTGCCCACAGTGGGTTAGGGTGGAACCCACACTTAGGGGCAGCTGTGTCTCAGGTGGTGGGCTTGGTCAGTGGTCTGATCTGTGACTCCTCCAGGCTCCTGAACCCGTAGCTGCCTCCAGCGTCTCCATCACAGTGCGTGTTGTGGTGTGAAAGAAGCTGCTTAAGCGTAGATAAAAGTGCAGTCCACTTACCATTTACCACTCAGGCCGGAGTGGGTGTGCCCACGCGGAGTCCGTTTTAGTGTCTAATGAACAATTAGTTTATTTGAAATGACTTGTTGTGTTTATCAGTGAAACGTGGCAGCGTGAGAACAAAATCTCCCAGTGTTCAGAACATTGTGGGCATCATGTGGCTGCATAAAAAAGATTTATGTCTAAAGAAGAGGATTATTGCTAAAATTGGGAAAGCTCAGCCCTGTTGTGGTATTCGAATAAAGCCTCAGCTTTGTGCATCTTTGACTGTCGGGTAGGATCATCACAGTCAGACTTTAACTCAATGATTCATGAACAGCTTTGTTTAACACGTATGTGGCACTACTCACACTGCAGGACATGCTCTTCTCCAGCATCTAGCCTTACCTGATGACAATGCTGAGTACATGCTTTCAGTGAGCACTGCTGTGGTTGATCCTGCTGCTTCTGGCTCCCCTGGTTAAATAAGCGATGTTCCTACTGAAAGGCGGCTGTAAGGGTTTGGCTGTCCATAGAGAATTTTCCCACTTTTATGAGGCCGTGAAAGTCAAGATCTTATTTCAACAGAATTAAAAAATCATAATCAGAATAATCCCAGAGTAGTATTTGATGCTACCAGCAGCACTGTTCCTCCTCCACCTCTGATGGACGTGAGATCCAAACTCTCCTCAGTTACTCTTTTTCTCTCCTCCTCAGCCTAAACCCGCCTCTGTCAGAGGTCACTTCCTGTTTAAAAAGGAGCTACAGTGTTACAAGATACTTGCTCAAAGACGCTCAACAGTCCCATCTTTGACACTGTGAAAGATATATGATGACATTCATCTAGCATGTTTGTTGCTTCTATTTACAGGTGACATCACAAACGTGACCTTTTTAGTTGCACGTGATGCTTCTAACACACGAAGCAGAAGCCTCAGGTGGGTGTAATGCATTTAATTGGAGACATTGATTTGTACATCATACAATATTCATAAAGTGCAACACAGAAAAAAGCAAAGAGCCATCCCCCGTTTTTCTTCCTCCATAAATACATCTTCCCCAATTTGAACATATTTCATCCAACCACAGCTTCTGGCACACATGACGACTCATTTCAGCACGATGACACACGGCACACACCTGACCTTCATTTGAAGCAGGCCACACTGAACCTGTGGCAGGACACTTTTATTCTTACCTTTCAAATTAATTACCTATCCGAGAGGGTGAAACCCGACAGCATGATTTATGAAACGCTAATATAAAAGAAATAATGAATGCCTAAAACTGATGAAAAATCTAAACATCCGTGCGAGACGTCCGGAGCTGTTTGAGTCAAAAACGTGGCCCAGTGTGGGGGCTGTACCTCTGGTCCTTCAGGCAGCAGCAGGAAAGACAAAAGTTAGAACAAAGAGCTCATGCTGTTCTTTAAATCGTTTCAACCACCCAGCATGTGACCTGCACGTCTGCCTCAGGCTCCACCCACACTGTTGCTTTCTGCACAGACATGTTGCATCAACCACACACCAGTGCAGACCGACACAGACAGGGTACCATGTGACGTGAGGTGTAACGGCATAAAGTATAGAAGCACGCAGCGTATCGCACCACACCAACAAAACATCCGTTATTACAAAGTATGAGACTAAAACTGCAGAGCAGCTTTAACTAGCACACCTAAAGACACGCCGTCAGACTTACAAACAGCCTTCAAGCAGTCAAAGCAGAACTTAAACTAACTCAGCCCACTACTTTACTAATGAAGTCAGCTCAGGGTCCAGCTACGAGCAAAAGGAAGGAGCAGCGACCTTACTGTGCACACCTGACCGAGCCCGCCAACGTCTGCAGCACCACGTGTGTCTGGGATTCACAACAAGCGTGGCAACGAGCCCCTCGTGACCCGCACACCTCTTTGGAACTTTCTCTAGTGGATGGAGGGAAATCCATTTCCAAAGGTGTTACTATAGCTACCAAACCTTAATGCTGAAATCAAGTCGCCATCACCCGGCCCCTCAGCTGACCCTAATGAGCAGACGTACCACAAACCGAACAGGCAAGCACGTCGTGCCCGCTCGCCGTCCGCCCATCTTAAATCCTTCATCTGATGGGAGAACTGAAAGCAAACAGCTGATAATGAACTTCGTCACAAAACTGCGTCTCCATTCAAAACAGCAGAAGCATGTAAACATGGGTGGGAAATAAGAAGATGGGACGCGCAGAGGACAGGAAAGGAAGAACGTACGCTGCTGCTCATCAAGTTTAGCTACGATCGCTCTATGCAGAGGAACTGGTGTGTTTCCACAGCAGCTCTGGGTAAACTGGTTCTCCGCGAGGTTGCAGCTCTGAGTGCTGAACAAACCTGGTTGATTAGCTAGTTAACCATCATGCAGTGGGACAGTGAAGTCTGTTCACCACCACTGACTCACAACAGCAGTAAATCACACACCAGCTAACAGTCCGGCTCAGTTTCAGCTACACTGAGTGGTTTCCAGTGACTTCTCTAAAACAGGTGATGCACACATGTTGTATTTAGTGTATATGAGAAAATCCCAGTGATGGACTAAAGTTACAGGACAAAGGCAACGCGCAACCAAAACGGCACGCTGCAAAAAGCTCATCACACACGTCGTTACCAGCATGAAGAGCGTCACTCAGATGATCTGGGCTGAGCACGTGTGCGAGTTCTGGGAAACCGACTCAAAAAAGGAGGAATGTGTGTTTTGAATAGCACGGCTATTTAAACATCAAAGTACTTCATTGCATTCATCATCACAAGTCACATCAACACGAATGTGTCGCAGCAGTCCTGCTCCTCCAGCTGGAGCTCTGGAAACACCAAAGGGTCAGATTTTATACAGTAAAGCCTCACACACACTACGTCACCTGACCAGTTCTGCTTACCTACAGTCAGTGTGATTATTTACAACCCGATAATAAAGTTATTAGTAGCTGTTGGAACGGCTGCTCAAATAAAAGAGAAAGAAGCAAACCTGCAGCTGACACTGTGCAGACGAGCTGTGTGGGCCTGCTCTGGGACACAGGCCAATGATATCTAACCAAAGGAAATTTGCAAACAATGCTAGCTTCGTGAACAGCATCAGCTCACTACCAGTCGAGCTGCTTGTTACAGTCGTCACCACAATAGGCAGAAACATGCACCACCAGCTGGTGTGATGGAGCCGACTGGACGAGGCGAACGAGACTGAGGAGATGAGATGACTTGATGCCTCAGCAGGACCATCAGCACGAAGCTGCATTTTCCTTTAGCCCAAAGATGTTCTGAGCGAGCGGGTTCGGTAGGCGACCTGTGAGAGTCTGCTGCTGTGGACTTGAGCAAAGGAAACGCGTGAGGGTGCCGTCTGTAGCTTTTTGGGATCCCTGCAACCAACAGGAGCAGGTACAGCAACCGTGGAGTTTCTGCAGCCAACACAACTTTAGCTCAGGTTTGATGGAAGCGAATGCTTTCACGCTTCACACTTCGTTAAAATCCATGATGTTAGCATGTGGTGTGATTCACATCTGAAGACCTAGAATGCCTGTTTTCACCTTTCTTAGACAGATATGCAAAGAAAACCTGCAACTACCAAGATCTACGCTGAAAGTACTAAAACTACAGACAGTGGGTGGGTGATGGTCCGCTGGAGGATCCAGGGCTGCTGGAATGTCCCCTGACAAGCTCGTAGTATAATCCTCGGTCCAAAAGGGCAAATTAGTGGAGAGCTGAAAAGAAGGAGGAAGAGTTTGGCCTCCTCGTCATCAGTAGCGTGTAGAGTACCAGTCATTGTCGGTCATCTGAACGAGCTCGTTGACCACGTCCAGCAGGTTGTAGTTGTGTTTCTTTAGCAGACGCTGGTTCAGAGAGCGGTCTGCAAAACCCATCTCCACCAGCACGGCCATCATGGTGTCCTGGGTGGATGCATCCACTGGAGGCTGGGTGGAAACAAGATCGGATCAGTCGAGCGAGCCAGCTACTGATTACCGCACAGGCCTGAATGAGTCTGTATCTGAAGTGTTTGAAGGTCTGACTGCTGACAACATGCTGTGTACAATGTAAATAAAAGCA